AAAGGCTAGGCATTGATAGCTGCAACTTCAGCCACCCTATCTAGAGCTATAGGGTAGGTACTCTTTGAAACAAGTCAACTATCCTCATTCAATGGTGCTCCAGCTTTTCCAGCACCTTGCTAGACCTCCTAGAACCCATAACACACCTTAGAGGCCCGAGGGATTAGGTAGGGAACCAATACATGTGAAATGCACCTTGAAAAACGCATGGAAAAACGACACAGCACGTCTGGCGACCGGTCGCACGTTCCTGGCGACCGGTCGCATTGCAATCTGTCTGAAAGCGACCGGTCGCTTGCACCTTGCGACCGGTCGCTGGTCACGATTTCCAGCTTCTCCTCCAGACTTCGAATCTGCTTCAAAACGACCGGTCGCAAATACCCAGCGACCGGTCGCTTCCTCCTTCACTTGCATACTTAATGTGAGCCATTTTTCCAACACCTGCCCCATCCACATCCATATGCGGGCCTCTCTGCTGCCCTGAAACTTTTTCAACCCATCATCTCCCCCGTTTGAGCCTTCCATTATTGGTAACTTGAAGATAACTTTAACACCTCTTTGCGCTTAATCTCTGATAAACAAAATATTCTTGATTCTTTTCCAAAATATGCCGAGCTAAAGCACAATCTAGAAAGAAAGAAAAAAAAAAACAAAGAAGAAGCAAGAATCAGCTTGCTAAAGCACATTGACAATAAAGGATCTCACTAGGTTTAAAACAAGGCTTTGGAGAACTAAACTGACCTGTTGGAGAAGTTATGAGACATTGAAAAAACAAACATCACTCATGATGCCCGCTGATATGAAGCCTCATAACACTTCCCTGGAAAGGTGCACCATCTGCCACTCTGAAGACTACAACCACAAATACATACAGATCTTAATTGCAGTGTTCACCCGATACAACTTCCTGCATTAAAAGCAAATTGCAACAGAAGGTACGTACTCTCCAATGGGTTATGGACTATCTTATACATATTAAACATGTTAAAAGCCAAAAAACCAGTGAATTCAATACCTGGCTTCATAATTCATCCCGACAGCAGTTTACAACCCTTTGCTTTCAACTTGGATTCTAAACCAAAAAACTTCAATCCTGACACCACCAGATCTGCCATCTTCTTCTTCATGTGTTCAATTAATACTTCATCATACACAATCATGTTGGCTTCTGTTAAAAGTTTGCGCTCTTTCAAATTAGAAAATATCTTCCTTGCCTCCTCTATTGTTCCATGCTTACACATGCCAGAGATTATAGCAGAGTATATAACATCATCCGGAGGACAACCCTGCTGCATCATCTCGTTTAGTACTTCAATCACCTTCTCAGCATTATTAGATTTACATGCTTGGAGAATGGTAAGAGAATACTTAAATTCCATGGGCCCACTTGTCACACTGGCCAAGCAGTCACGAACAAGCAGCATAACTGTATCAATCTCGCCAACTTTGCAAAGACCTCTTGCAAGAGAACAATAAGCAGAGATAGAAGGAACACGAGACATCTCAATTATCTTATTATGAGAGGCACAAGCCTCATGGATGTCCTCATCTTCAACAAAACACATAATTGCAATGCTATAAGTGGACGCGTCGGGCTGCAAATCCACATCCTTCATTTCATTAAAGAGAGACCATGCTTTCTTCACTTTCCCAGATTTGTGGAGGGCCCCCATAAGGATATTGTAGATTCCAACACTATAATAACCTTTAACTTTCAACTCCCCAAACACTTCCAAAGCTAAAGGTACTCCATCCTCCTTTCCTACCATAAAGGAAAAGAATTTTGAAAGATCATCAATAACAGGAAAACCAAATTTCTCCATCTCTGCAAGCATATCGTAAAAGTTATCCATTCTTCTCGTCTCAGCATAAGACACCAAAATGGGATTCACCGTAGCAAAATCTGGCTGAAGACCCTCTTGAACTGTAACTCGGAAAATCTTATAAGCTTTTTCAACCCGCTTCGCATTACATAAACCCTCAATAAGAGAATTATATATCCCCAAATCTGCTCCATACCCTGAATCCATCAAATCCTTCAACAAATCACATGCCGCTCCAACCTTCCTGTCTGCCACGAACCCCTCAATCAACACCCCGTAAATCGCTCTATCAATCAGGAAACCCTTAACCTTCATCTCCCTAAACAACTCGTATCCTTTCTCCACCCTCCCTCCCTTACACAGACCCGTAACCAGAGTTGCATATGCCATAACGTCCGCCTCTACCCTATCTCTCTTCATTTCCTCCCAAACCCTCAAACAGCCGTCCGAGTTCCCCTCTGAAATCAAAACCTTAATCATTGCCGTGTATGCAAACACGTCAGGTTTACACAAATTCACCCTCATTCTCTCCTGTAATAAAACAAGGTCATCACACCCTATGTGGGTGAGTGGGAGATGTAATAAAACAATGATTATGCACTAATCCTTGTTTTATGGCACTACACAAATTAAGGCACTTAGCCTTGTTTTATGGCACTACACTAATCCTTGTTTTAAGGCACTAAACCTTGTTTTAGTGCACTACCAACTTAAGCACTAGTGCATGTTTTATGCTCTCTTGAGATGAGCTAAAACAACTCCTATAAATAGATGGAGTGTGTGCAAGTGAAGAAGATGATGAGAAGCATTAGTGCATACTCTCTAAGTTGGTGTGTGTGAGACAAGAAGTGTGAGTGCATATCAAAGAGTTGTAGTGAGTTTTACACCCACAAAGAGAGAAACCTCATATCTCCCTAAACACTCTCCTTTAGGCAATTCACCAAGAGCCTTGGTCTTGGGTACGTGGAATCAATGGAGTAACTTTCATAGCCAATCCAACGACCTTGGAGACGAAGAACGTGTAGAATCTTGTTGGCGTGTTCGTGACGTGGAAGCATC